GCCGCGGGAGAAGAACAACAACGCCGACGACCACCATGATGATGACGACCAACAAGAAGCTCCCCCCTCCTCCTCCTCCTCTGCCCAGAAAACACACGACGCCGCCGCCGCCTCCTCCTCCTCCTCCTCCTCCTCCTCATGCTCATCCCACTCCTCCTCTTCTTCTGACGGCTCGTGGACTGCAGGCCGAGGCGAAGATGCTGCTATGTGAAAACCTAGCAGGTCGATGGCAAGCGAGCGAACAGACAGGTGAGGCTAGTAGGCGAGGAGGAGGCGGGGACAGAAACGTGACATGTCTTCTCCAAACAGCAAGCTTGAGAGTAGAATGGACTAACTTCAAGTTCGTCAACACCATCATGGTTGTCCTCTGACTTGTTCCTCCCCTCACGTGACTTGGCTTCTTCCGACAGCACGTCATTCAAGAGAACTTCCAGCAGTTGGAAACCTTGAGTCTAGACAATAACAGTCTCCAGAGCTTGCAGGAATGCCACTGTCCTCCTTCTTCCGCTGCTGCTGCTGCTCCTCCTCCTCCTCCTCCTCCTTTTCTTTACACAACGAATTTCACAGCACAAGAAAAACTCTGACGTCACCAGCAGACATTCTCCACTTTGTCGACTCTCTGTCCGTCCATTCGCAACCTCAGGTGAAACAATCTTCATTCCATCCACTCCCTTTGACTCCTCCATCCCTTCCTTCACCTCCTCCCCTTCACCGTCTTGCCTTCATCTTGGCTCGTCTCCCCTCCTCTCCTTCTCCTCTCCTGACAGAGCTGCTCTCTCTCCAGCCTTGCCAACAACTTCCTGGAGAGCTCGGAGGAGTTGCAGTCGTTGCAGGTGAGAGGTCACGGCCGATCTCCATCCTCCTCACCGCCTGCCAAGGGTCTGCAACTGAGAGAACTCCGACTGGAGGGAAATCCCTTCATCAAGACTGAGGGAGCGGGTGAGCCCTTAGCCGTTCCTGCTCATCCTCCTGCGTTACCTACTCCTGTTCCTCCTACTCCTTCTCTAACTTCGCTCACTCCTCCTCCTTCCTGGCCTCCCTCTTGAACTTCTCCCCTCCCGTCGCCGTCTTCCTTGAGTAGCTCTCTGTTCACGTTGGCTGCTCCTTCCTCCTACCCCGTTGCTGACAGCCTTGCAGACAAAACAGGCTTTCATGGCGTCATCCGAGGTTTCTTTCCCACTCTGATCCTCCTAGACGGCAACGAACTCAAGCCGCTCAAGATGTAAACGCCTTGCCCCTATGCCTGCCCTGCCCCTCCTCCTCCTCTTCCCCCCCCCCCCTTTCTCCTCCCCCTCCTCTTCTTCCTCCTTGTCCTCCCCTTCCTTTCTCTTCTGCTCCCCTTCCTGCCGTTCCCTACTAATGACTTCTCCCCTCCAGCGAATTCAACATCCCCGTCCCCACTTCTCTTCCTCCCAGCCTGGGAAATTTTTGGGAGGATCGGGTCTTGGAGAAGCCGATCTCCGACTTCATCAACGCCTTCTTTTCCCGCTACGACAGCAGCAGAAACTCCCTCCTGCAGGCCTACGTCGACACCGCTCTCTTCTCTGTCTCTATTCCCCACTACAAGCGCGACCCTGAAGCTGCTCGCCGCTCCACTCCCGAGAAACTTCCGACGCTTCCTCCCTCAGAGGCCAAGAACTACCAGGAGGTCTCCCGCAACCTCTTGGACTCTCACGGTGAGCAGTGGGGAAGAGAGAGGAGGAGGAGGGCAGGGCAGATCGCGGGAGGGAGGTGAGGGGAAGGAGGAGCTTTATTTTGATTTCTTTTCTGTTCAGACAAGACGAGCAAGAAACTTCAGAGCAAACGACTTGCCGTCCTAGCAACCCTCGATAAGCTTCCTCCGACTCGGTGACCGTGCCCTCCCTCCCTCCTCTCCTCGTACTTGTCATCAGCTACTCTTCTTCTCCCTTCCTCCACTGCGCTGTCCCTTGCTCTTGCTGACAGCATAGGGTTGGATGGAGCAGGCACGACCTCTCAAGCTTCAAGGCCGACGCTTTCATTCTCCCTTCCGTCGGCTCCAACGTGCAGATGTGCAAGCTGATGCTCACAGGCAACTTTCAAGAGCAGGTCTTTTCCACGTGGAAGGTACTCCTCCCTCCTCCCTCCTCCCTCCTCCCTCCTCCCTCCTCCCTCCTCCCTCCTTCCTCCTCCCTCCTTCCTGTTTTATTCTCTCTCTGCATCTCCTCGAGTCTCGTTCCCCCTCCTGTTCTCTTTTCCCGGTCTCCTCCCTCCTCTCCTCCCTCCTCTTCAATCTTTGTTAGTTTCCCTTCCTCGACCACTCCCGCCCTCATTGAATTCCAACATGCTGCTATAGTCCTTACCTCGCCTACAGGACAGAAGATTTCATCGAACATTCATTCTGTGCTCCCCCCCTCCGGCAGATTCAGCTTCTGCAGGATGGTAATCGACTGCTCTCTTCCCATCCTCTTCCTCCTCCTCCTCGTCGACCTCCTTCATCTCTCTCCTCCCTCCTCCTCATTATTCTTCCTCAGGCAAGTTGCCATCTGCAACGACCAGCTCTGCATCCGCAACGCCTTCCAAGACGAGCGAGGGACACAGGTTGCATAACACCACCACCACCTCCTCCTCCTCCTCCTTCTCCTCCCTCCTCCTCCTCCTCCTCCTCCCTCCTCCTCCTTTTCTATCCTCTGCTCTCTCTTCCCTGCTTCCGTTCCCCAAATCTCTATCCGTACCCTCCCCTCTTGGTTCCTTACGTCTGCTCAGGTGCAGCAGCCTATGGAATCAGCTCCCGTCCAACCTCAACTGCCTCCTGCACCGATGGTGCTACCGTGTTCCTCTTCTCCCTCCCTCCCTCCCTCCATTTCTCCTTCCCTCCCTCCATACATACATACATACATCCCCTCCCTCCCTCCCTCATCGTCTGCTCTGCTTCAATTCAACTCTGCCCACTTCATCACCTGCAAATTTCTTCCTCCCTGCTTCACCTCCTTCACTCTCTCACGCTTCTCCTCCAGCAGGCTCAGCCGACTCCGGATCAAATCTCTCTTACCAATCAGCTCCTGCAGCTCTGCCCCTGCCCCTCGCATGAGTTGGCTTTCCAGTGAGTCTCCTTCCTCCTCTTTATTCCTCCCCTTTCTCCTTCCCTCCTCCTCCTGTGCTCCACTTGTCCTTTCCTCTCTCCTCAACGGCTCCTGAACTCAATTCCTGCTTTCGCTCCTTTCTCCTTCCCCTCCTCTCGCTCTGGTCACTGAATGTCCCTCAGGTGCCTCCAGCAGTCCAACTGGAATCTTCAAAGTGCCGTACAGAACATGCAGAACTTTCTCGGTTGAGACACTCTGTCACTCCTCTTCATGCCGCTGCGCTTCCTCCTCCTCCTC